CGCCTAGAAATTATATCTGTCTTGTGATTTGTAAAACTCTGCCAAGTATCTAAAATACATTAAAGAAATTAATGTTTTACGAAAATTCATTTTACACCCTGATAGAAAACTCTAATTTACAATTATTATGATTGCCATTTCTTAAATTTTAAAAATAACAACAAAATTTCCAACCCAAAAGTAATAAAAATCATTCGAAGTAGGAAATAATAGAAAAGAAAAATCAACAAGTTCAATAAGTATAAAGCGTGGCATTAAAGTTGACTAGGACACATTTGAAACTTACACAGATTATTTGAAAATTCTATTACATTACCTAGTTCACAGGATTTTTCGGGTATGCAAATTAACCATTCCAAAATGGCCGTTCCACTGGTGAAGCGGATATGGCGGTTTTCTAAAGAATTACGTGCTTCCTCCGCTGCTACGCCACTGAAATGTCCATAAAGTTCATTTTTCTTCTTTTAAACTCAATATTGATCAACCTCATGATTCATAATCAAAAGTTACAACGGTAATTGTAAGACATAAAAAATTTTAGCAGTTTCATTACCGAAATACCGCGAATGAGTGCAGAAATAATGTAACGTCGCTAAATTTACGAAAAATTNAGTGCAGAAATAATCTAACGTCGCTAAATTTATGAAAAGTTATGATCAAGGAATTATGTAACTGGTATATAAAATTTTAGATAATATTTTAAATTCTTTTTAAAAAAACAAAGAGTTGAGGGGAAAATGCGAGAAAAATATCGAATTTGAACCACTCCACCCCCGAGACGCGTAGTGAAAATCGAGAAATTTCAAAAAATGCAATTTACATATCCGCGCTGCGAATAATAGAAAATTAAAGATAATGCTTTGGTTATTAATTTCTGTATCACTCACGGCAACACACTGACTTTATTGTACAAAATATTAATTGTTGAAGGAAGCACTGACCTGTAGCTGCGTACGGCTTGCCGGTTGGTAGAAGACAGCAACTCTCTGTAGGATTGTAGGCACTAGGTGCTACGTTGTTCGGTTTGAAGGAAGCAACAAAAACAAATATGGCTAGCCTCACCGTTTCTTCAGCCAATCGTATGAAAATCTTTTGGAAATGTGGAAAAATACATTTCTCGGCATAAAATTGCGAGAAAATCACGAAAATGATGGGAAACGTCGCATGAAAACGCTAAAAAAGCATAGTCCCTTTGATTTTACGAGAATATGTTGGAATATGCGCCATATATTAAAACTAATTACATCATCTGTGTACGGTTGAATGTATGCGTAAATTAATAGGTATGTGCGTATAAGAACGCTTTATTATGATCGCCGTTTTGCTCGTCCTTGTTTCGACAGCGATATTGATCTGACATACACATTCATACAGTTCTAGAAAATGTGAAGTTATGCTCCTCTTCTATATATAAAATTTAGTGCCTTTCCTGCAAACAATATCCATCACAAGAAAGAAAATAACCAACGTCAGATAGAAATTGTATAATTTATATAAAAGTGGAAATATCCAACATCAGATAGAAATTGTAAAATTTATATAAAAAATACGAAAGAGAATTGAGACACATTATTTTCATAAATTTAGACACTGCGAGTATCTTGTATATTCCATTTCTACTACCAATGTTGAATATTATATGGAGGCAATAAGAGTATTAATCGCGAACGTTTGAATTGTGGAAACAGTATTTATAAAACGTGTACAAAAATATAGCATAAAGTACAATTATTTTTATGGACAGTTGAGCTACTATTTCTAATAATTATATAATTAGCGATGTTTTTTATAGGAATGACTTTATATATTTTTTCTTACGGACGGGTATTTATAACGTTCATCAATTTATAGGCTTTACAATGATATTATTCCTTTTATAACTTAACGAATAATAATTCACGTTTTTTTACATTCGATATTCATTTTTATGCATATTTCACCTTGTAATACCGTCTTTCGAATAGATAGACATCGCGAAAACCATATTCAATTTGCATTGGCATTTTATTAGTTTTTATTTCCATTCTATTTATATGTGTATATAATTTATTAACGTTTCTTCTACATGTCAACATTAATTTGATAAAACATTAATTAAACGACTCGCATCGTCTATCTTCGTTTGAAGAGTATCAAAAGAATAATTATATTCCACGGGAATTTATTTACAGCGTTTATTTACGTCTTCGAATGACTTTTGCTAGCTCGAATGTATATGACGCCAAGCCTCAAGCTCCGACATCAAAACCCCATCGACTGAACAACGACATGCAATATAATATATACACAATTGCCTTGGAGGAAAAACTTCATAAATAAGATGAAAGATTTCATAAAATCAGCATCAATAACCATTAAAACAGACATATATACACGTAAAGACATCCGAAAACAGTGGATAGATTTTGGTTATAGAGATGGCAATAACTTTATACGCGGAAAAGTACAATTTCATATTTGCTAGAATTGTACAAATCGATCGCTGTCGAAACAAGGCAATCATAATGAAGCGTTCTTATACACACATACCTATTAATTTGTGCATACATTCAACCGTCCACAGATGATGTAATTAGTTTTAATATATGGCGCATATACCAACATATTCTCGTAAAATCAAAGGGACTGTGCTATTTTAGCGTTTTCATGCGATGTTTCCCATCATTTTGGTGATTTTCTCGCAATTTTATCAACAATTAATATTTTGCACAATAAAGTCAGTGTGTTGCCGTGAGTGATACAGAAATTAATAACCGAAGCATTATCTTTAATTTTCTATTATTCGCAGCGCGGATAAGTAAATTGCATTTTTCGAAATTTCTCGATTTTTACTACGCGTCTCGGTGGTGAAGTGGTTCAAATTCGATATTTTTCTCGCATTTTCCCCTCAACTCTTTGTTTTTTTATAAAGAATTTAAAATATTATCTAAGATTTTATATACCAGTTACATAATTTCTTGATCATAATTTTTTGTATATTTAACGACGTTATATTATTTCTGCATTCATTCGCGGTATTTCGATAATGAAATTGCTAAAATTTTGTATGTCTTGCAATTACTGTTGTAACTTTTGATTATGAATCATCAGGTTGATCAATATCGAACTTAGAAAAAGAAAAATGAACTTTATGGACACATTTCAGTGGCGTAGCAGCGGAGGAAGCACGTAATTTTTTAGAAAACCGCCATATCGGCTTCACCAATGGAACGGCTATTTTGAAATGGTTAATTTGCATACCCGACAAATTCTGCGAACTAGATAATGTAATAGAATTTTCAAATAATCTGTGTAAGTTCCAAATGTCCTAGTCAACTTTATTGCCACGCTTTATACTTATTGAACTTGTTAATTTTTCTTTTCTATTATTTCCTACTCCTAATGATTTTTATTACTTTTGGGTTGAAAATTTTGTTGTTATTATTAAAATTTAAGAAATGGCAATCATAATAATTGTAAATTAGAATTTTCTATCAGGGTGTAAAATGAATTTTCGTAAAACATTAGTTCTTTTAATGTATTTCAGATACTTGGCAGAGTTTTATAAATCACAAGACAGATATAATTCCTAGGCGCTCATGAATACTAATAATTATCACTTCGATGGAAAAAGGGAATCTTTCACTATCATTTATGTCAGTTTCTGATCATTTTAATTATTTTATAATTCCCTGCATTTAAAATATTTTTGTGTGATCATAGTAATATATTTGCCTTGATTAAATAAACGTACATAATTGGTTAAGAATTACCACCTCCGTGATTGCAAGGTTTGAATGGGGCAGTTATTTCTCTGGGAAATCCTGTACTTGTTATATCTACATGTAAATAATCAGTCATTATTTTCAGTAGATTTGTGTAT